CTCCTCCACCTGCAAATCTCAGTTTTTTTCTGCCATTTGCCTCCTGAAAGCTACACACCCCTCCTCTTCATCCACCTGTCAGGCCGTAGACCTCCACAGCTCTAGTGGCATGGGCTCAGAGCTGAGAGCCCAGTAGGAGGTCTTTTGATTGGGGTTGGTCAGGCATGTCTGCTCCTCCCCGCAGGAGGTGTGATGGAGCTGGGAATGGTAGATTGACCAGACTGATAGTGCAACCTCCTGTTCATTGGGCTGGTCATTGAATTCTGCAGATTGTTGGTGTCGGTGAACTTGATTGAGGGATCGGTCTCTCTCTCTTTTTCTACCTCTCTTCCTTGCTCTCTCTTTTGCTCTAACACCTGGGGATTTACCGCTACCCACCTCCCTAATGGAGCGTACTTCCCTCGTCTTTCTTTGGGCACTTTGCTTTCTATCGCTCACTGTCTAATGCTCACTGGAAATACAGACACAAAGATATTATTACACAGTGCTATTGGATACTTCATTCTGATTGGTCAGTTGCAGTTGCAATTGTCTGTCTGTCAGTTCTTTGTCTATCTATCTAGTTTTTGCTACTATACCTTTAAAACTATTTGGCGTTCCGTCTTCCTATCTATTATTTTAACATTCTATCTATCATTCTATCTTATTTTCTTTTGCTCTATGATTCTATCTGTCTACAGTGACTTGCTGACTGTATAATCTCTTACATAACACTTGCACTTTTATGAAAATGTGTGTTTGTGCCCTTTGGGCAACCCTACCTTGTCCTCTTTCCCTGCTGAAGGATTAAACAAACACATGATCCAATTATTTCTTTAAAGGTTTTTTTTTTTATTATTATTGCTGCAGGCAACACTATGATGATTGTGGTGGAGAGCATGGCCAACGGAGCCCTGGACTCTTTCCTGCGGGTAAGAGAACGTATTTTGTGTCTGTTTGTTCTGCTGACTATAATATTCATCAGATGCAAAATGCTGAGTACAGTACATGGTATATATAAAATATTTAAGATACATTACAAAACCTGCAGATGTGATTTGTTGATAAATAGAAAACAATGAGAGGAAGAGCCAAGTGAGGCATTTTATCTAGTCTCAGAGTCAGATGAAGTGACATTCTTGAAAGGAAGTGAAATGATTGTTATTTGTTCCAAGTTCTCATAAATATTTCAGTTTATGTTCTAAATTGTTGTTTTCATCCCATTTTCCTTTCCCTTTTTCAATTTTCAACGTTCCTTTTTCCCCTCTATATCGTATGTTACTTTTCTTACTTTACCACTCTGTTTCCCTTTCTCTTTCCTTTTGCTTTTTTCTCTTGGCATCATTTGTGTCATTCCTTCCTTCCTTTCACTCCCTCTTTTTTCTGC